GAATGTGAATTCTCTACTCTTATGTTAATGGAACTATTATTTTTATTCTAAAGATTTTATTTAACCCAAGAATATGTTTTATAATTTTTCTGTATGTATGTTGGGGTAGAGGGTGTTACAAATTGTCCTATATATCAATTCTAAATTTGAATTTGAATGTACAATTATATTTTTAAAAATTAAAATTAACCATCATTTTATTATTATATGCATTTTCTTATGATATTTCAAATATTCAATAAAAATTTATGTGTTTAATTGACATAACTTAATTTATTAAATTCTAATAAATTTATTTTATAATCAATAATTTAAATTTTCTCTCTTATTTTTTGATCAAACTGAAATTCGATTGGACAAGTTTTACATGAGAAAATCCAAATCCATAATTTTTTATTCTTTATAAATAACAATATTTGTAAAACAAAAGGCAGAGTATTGATATCATATCTTTCACCATTTGAATATTGAAAAGGAAAAGAAAATGCAGTTTCGAAAACTATTTATGTTTATTTTCACGCTGTTAGTAATTGCTTGCAATGTATCTGAATCCCAAGACTGTGCCAATCCACCCAAGATCATCATTGTTGGCCAGTCAAATTTCGAAACAATTCAAAGTGCCATCAACTCTGTCCCTGAAGAAAACTCTCAATGGATTCAAGTTAAAATTTCTCCCGGCGTTTACAAGTAATATTTTCCAAATTTTCATACAAATCTTTCTTGTGTTTTTTGAAGAAATTATCAGACGAAAAAGTAAAAAGCATTTAGTTAATACACTTTGATCTAGTAATAAGTAAGAGAAATAAGAACATAGGAAGTTTTAGAATTAATCGTGTTATTTTCTTAGTATACTTAATTGTTACTACAAGAAAATTATCATATAGTGATACACATAATATAATGACACTATATATGTTACTAAAAATTTCTTTTATCTACGCAATAAATACAATATATGTTGGTAAATTATTAAAAATATTAGTATAGATTATAGTGACACACAAAATATGTTGTTAATTTTTATTCAAAATCAATATTAAAATTATGTGTAACTATGCGTTAAATAGATATATATCTACATATATTATATTTATAGTGACACTTTTTATATGTTACTATATATATATATATA